AGTAGCCCATGGCGGTTCCCCATCCCCATCAAACTCCGCCCACATAAAAAACCCACACCCCTCCTTCCCCGGCACAAACCCCGCATGACACATCCACATATACCGTCCCCTCGACTCCTTCCTCCTCATCGCACACCGCAGCACCGTCGGCACCCCACAGCGACACCTCGGCGTAAACTTCGGATACAAACTCTCCTTGTACCAGCGATATGTCACATTAATCCTCTTGTTGCCCGCTAGGGGATGCGGATCGATAGTGTGAGCGGGCGCTATACTATGTTTCCACTCCTCCTGCATCTCCGCATGCATCACTAATAAGGAATTATGTGGGAGGTGGATACTAATTTGGCCCTGGGCATCTGCCTTCTCTACACCATCTACCTCATCGTCATCTTGCGGGACGACTCTGCGCACGCGAAACTCGCGGGCGACGCCGAGACTCAAACTCCCGATTACGGGGCGTGGACCGAGGTAGGTGAGTTGGTCGGTGTGGTAGCCTACGCTTTGGTGGGGGCCGTCGTAGCAGTTTACGAAGGCGGTGTTTGGGTGCCAGGGGTGCGGGGATTGGTGAGGGAGCTTTTGCGCGTTGGGGTAGTAGGTGGTGATTCGGCGTCGGATTTCGGTGTTTACGGCTGTTTGGACGGCTGGGAGGGCGGCGAGGAGGGAGGGGGGGCTTTGGCGGACGTTCTGAGGGGGGGATGTTGTTAATGTGTATATTAACAAGAGGAGATTGAGGAGATTGACTAGGAACGTACGTCTATCTGTCGCCCGTCGTAGATATATTCCGTCTTTTGCTGCTCCACCTCTTCGAGACTGTTGACGTAAAAGGCATACGTGTGTGGGCTCTGCACTACTCTGTCGAAAAGCTTGAATTCAAACCGTTGGTATGTCGAGGATTCCTCGAGTAACTCCAAGAGTAACGCGTCGGCTTGTTTGGCTGGGAGAAAGTTGTGGATAATGGAACATGGTGTATGTGTTTCAATGTCTTCCGGGCTATACAGGAACAGCGTTTTGCCTTTCTTCACTACGAATTTCTTTGTCTGGGTGCCATCTAACGGGGCAATCCGGTATGAGGTCAATGACGATTGATATCCGACTGTAGTTGGCGCGGGTCGCTTTCTCGCAGGTGACCTCGATGATTGTGTCAGGTACTCTGAAGCCTGCTCGACTGATCCGTCTGCCATGAGTAGGGCTTCAAGTAGAGCCGCTTCATCAACATCGGCATGTAACGATGCCAGTACCGCCAATTTGAAATCCGTAGACTCCTCCTCTTTCTCTGGCTCCACACGCGTAGTCGCAACTGCGGGCTTCACCACCCGCTCATCCCGCTTCCTCTTGCGTGTCACGAACGCGTCCATCTCTTCCCTGTAAAACGCACGATACGGTCCTCATGTCGAAACAAGCCGCATCCAGCAATTGATAGTACTAGACGCAGGTGGCGAACAGCCCCAGGCTACAAACGCCCCCAACGCGTAGTCACGGGACCAAAAAAGGGTTCCCCTGCTTACCCGGATTGCCAGCCCCGCCATGAGCTACTCTTGCGCCTCGGCCATAGTAGAGCACCACCCGCACTCGTCATCCGCCAAACCATGCATGCAGCACATCATCCCCCAGCTTCACTTCTTTTCCCGTCGCGCAAAGATGCGCCACATGCTGTCCAACCTGCACGCGCCATAGTCTGAACCTTTTCTCTCTCTCGTTTTGACTCTCACTTAACCGCCAACATGCTCGAGTTCCGCACCCAGGGCTTCAACGGCTACTCGGTCAAGTACAGCCCATTCTTTGATTCGCGCATCGCAGTCGCTACATCTGCGAACTTTGGACTCGTAGGGAATGGACGGCTGTATATTCTTGGTTTGACGGCTAATGGGATAGTCGCTGAGAAATGGTATGTATTATCCTCTTTTCCATTACTCATGTACCTATGGTATACATATTAGTGTGTATACACCCAGCTCTTTCACATGCTAACCACACCAACCACACAGGTTCGACACCCAAGACTCGCTCTTTGACAGCACCTGGTCCGAATCGCACGAGAACCAACTCCTAACCGCCGGCGGCGACGGCTCCGTCAAACTCTTCGACATCAACGTGCCCACGTACCCCATCGCCTCGTGGCAAGAGCACGCGCGAGAAGTCTTTGCCGTCCACTGGAACCTCGTCGCCAAAGACACATTTCTCTCGTCGTCGTGGGACGGCACAATCAAAATCTGGAACCCCAATGCAAACGCCAGTATCACGACGCTGCCCACGCATTCGTGTACTTACTCTGCGGCGTTCAGCCCGCACAACCCCAGTGTGCTCAGCAGCGTGAGTTCGGATAGCCATCTCCGCGTCTTTGATTTGCGCACGCCGGCGAGTGCAAGTAACCATCTCACGATGAGTCTGCCGATTCACCAGCCGCCCAAGGCGCGCATGGGAACTGCAGCGCCCGTGGGTATTGCGCCCGCCGAAGCACTAACGCACGATTGGAACAAGTACCGCGACACGATTGTTGCGACGGCGGGCGTGGATCGCATTATTCGCACGTTTGATATTCGCATGCCGCAGCAGGGACCGATTGCTGTCTTACCAGGTCACGAGTATGCGGTTAGGAGGTTGAGTTGGAGTCCCCATCTCTCGGATATACTGCTTAGTGCTAGTTACGACATGACGTGTCGGGTGTGGACTGATGGCAGCGCTATGGGTGTAGGGAATGTTAAGCAGGAGAATATGCTTGAGGATCCCATGTTTTATGGTGGAGGCAGGGAGATGGGGAGGATGGGGAGGCACACAGAGTTTGTGACTGGTGTGGACTGGTGTTTGTTTGGTGCAGAGGGATGGTGTGCGAGTACGGGGTGGGATGAGAGAGTGCTCGTGTGGGATTGTAGAGCTGTTATGCAATAAATTCATGACTTGTTACAGGCAAAAAAAATAGTGTTCCCAAGGTAGAGTTTGTAGATAGTTTTCCCGGCTTTATAATGAATGTGTAGTAATTGTCACAATGTTCTGGACTAAAGACCGACCCTTGGAGATCTATCAGCCACCTGTTGGAACAGGATAGTCTCTATTACGTATGCAGGTTTATATAGTACTTCTCTATATCTATATATACTATAAAGTAATTCGCACTCTGCCCAAGTATGCTCTACTCTAATAATAATCAGAGTGCAGATGCTGCATAAACTCAACCCAAAGGCAACTCTCCTCTCCTTTCCCTCTAGTCTCCCACGCAGCATCGCTACCTAATTGCTCTATCCAGCTGCGCTTTATCTTTGCTCTTGTTGCTTCGTCGCTTGTTATCCACGCATTCTTTGTTTCCTTGAACTGTTCCTGCACTTGCTTCGTCTTTCTATCTAGCGCTTGGCTACGCTCCTTCAGTCTAGCTCCCACCCTACTATTAGGCAATACCTCTAGCAGCCTTTTCCACTCTTGATAATGTGTCTTTGCAGCATGAACTGTCCACTCTCCAGCCTGGCAGAAGGAAGCTGTACAGCTGGACAGAGGGCAAACAAAAGACGCATCGCGTCCGAGGCTAGAGTGATGCCGGTCCAAGGCTTCCACCATGAGTGGCCACAGCCCGAATCGCTGAAGAGGAATTTTATGGTAGCACTGATATTTGAGCTCGTTGTAACGCTCCACTGGACCTTTGAATTGCTTTGGCGGCATCAAGATTGTTTGCCGAAAGGTTTTTGGCTCGCTCTTGTGCCACTCTCCGTCACCTGCTAGTTGGAATGAGCATCGGTGCCACGCACCAGTACGCCAATCTGGGGTTCCGGCTAGCAGATGAGGCTTTGGCTCCTTCTCGAGAAAGAGAAGAGAGGATTCGATGCCCTGAGGACAAGCTCGCAGTAGAAGCTGTAGTGGTAGCGGAAAAGGCTCTTCATCCCAGCTGACACGTTCCTCGTTGTAGTTCAAGATGACCTTTTTAACGTTCGGAAACTTGTCTTTTAGCGAGGCCCAGAAAACATCAACTAGGTCGTGCTGAATGTCGCATAAGTTGTCTCGTTGTACGCATATTTGCTGCGTAATTCCAGCCCGACATTCAATCTCGATGTTTTGCACATTAGTGAGAAAAGCCATGTCCCAAAATGGCTGGCCTGGGTAGGCTTCATTTAGGAGCCATTGTGCTTCAACTAGGAAATATGCATCTCCCTTTCCCCAAAACAGCTTCGAAGCTTCCGTGCGAAACTTGGAAGAGGTATGCATAAGCTGAAAGAGAGTACTAGTAGAGCACATAGCTAGTATACAAAGCTGCATCTCTTCTGGAAGTCGGTGGAAATTCGATAAGGTTGCGTTGTCTTGTGATGCAACTGTAAGGGTGCTACTTTCTTGGACGTATACATAGAAAGGAATCCGTTCTTCTCCACCTGGCGTCATGTACACTTCTCGATCAAGACCTCTCGTCTAGGGCGGGTGGGACAGGGTCGCAAGTAGGTTACAGGTAGCTTGGCGACGCATAGCGATTGACTAAAGGTTTAAGCGCCAGGCATAACAGAAAGCGAGTACACAGTAGAGTTGCGCTTATGCAGTATTAAGCAGAGAGAGGTCTTGCGTAGTCAAGATAGTCGCCTAGTAGCGTTTGTTATTAGCATCAAGCGCCAAGACTACTAATACTTAATTAGTAGGGACCTGGCCCTTCCTTCTTAGCGTTGGGAAGGAACCTACCAATGTTCTCCTTTCTGGAAGGCTAGTGCGTGTTTCGCTTTTTTGGTCTGCAGGGGAAACTTTTGGGTAGATGGGTGTAACTCAGTTAGGTGGTAAAAAATTTCTAATGATTAAGATTATTGACTCCTTTCGATACGGAATCAATTGTTAGTTTGGTAGTATATGCTTGGTCCGGCGACCCTCCCCCCCACTTGCGTGCCGCGATGCTCCTCCGCCTTGACGACCCCCAGTTATTCGCCTATCACGCTTACACCTACGACGTGAGTTTTTAGTTGATTCTTAGAATTTTTTTTGTTATATACTAATTTTCTTAGAAGGCGGGAGATAAGTGAGTTATAAGGATCAACAGCTTATGGGTACCGCCCCCGCTTGACATACTCATCCATCCAAAATACCGCCTGGAAGAACGCCTGTTCCTTTGCGAATCTCTCGCGATCAATTTCCAGATTGCCCTTTGTAGCGAATCCGTGTTCGACGTGAGAGTAGAGAAATACCTGATAGGAAACCTTTGTTTCTTTAAGAATATCTTCTGTTTGGCGGCGCTTCTCAGCGGGGAAGATTTCATCAGTTTCTGTTTGGCCGATCTCAGTACTCGAGCAAACTCAGATGAGGGTATTGGTGTAATTTTCTTTTACCTGCTGCAGCAATACTCAATGGACGCTGTACACCCCTTACTTCATCCGCATCAACGAAACTCGGGTGCGCAATGAATCCTGCATCTAGACTGCCTGGCTTCAACCATCTGCACACGTATTTGCCGCCAAAACAGTAGCCTATGCCGCCGAGCCGTTTGACGCCTAGCTTGTTGCGGAGATGATTGATTACTGTTTCGTAGATAGGGTCGACGGTAGGTGTGCGCGGCATGGTGTTGTCGACCCAATCCTGCAGGCTGAATGAAGGAGGGAAGGGGAAGCGGATGTGATTGCCGTTGAAGACATCGGGGATGACGACGAGATAGCCGTTGGCCTGTTTGCGTGGTTGTTCAATATCAAGAGAAATGGATGATGCGCAGAAGAAGACATACGGCAAATTGATCAGCAATGAGCTGGGTGTTGAGAAAGTCCATGCCCAGGGCGTCTGTCATGAGCAGAATGGCATTCTGGGTGCTGCCGTCTTCGGGATAGGCAAAGTATGTGCGGACTTATAATGATTAGTCTTGAGGGATTGCTGATCATGGACGAGGTGTTGTTTTACTGTTGCCGATTTGCTTGACATTGCCTTTGGGTGTGCCTTGGTGCTTGACGCCGACAATGCAGCATTTGCCCATTGGATTCGATGCCATTGCGATGTGTGTTTCTGACTACAAGATTATTGAAAAAAAAGTCAACTGTGACTCTGAAGAACAGGAAGAACATGCAGAATTAGCGATTATTTATATGACTCTATTGTTCTCGTTACTCGCTTTCAGTGCCAAACTAGGGTATGAGAGACCTTGATCCAGATACCCACAGTGGAGCGTGGAGCGATACGTGACTAGGACTTTACGCCCCAGGAAGGTACGTTGGTCGTCGATTCCGATTACGAATGCTGGGGGTGCCTGGAAATGAATGGTTGTGATTGGACGGATCCAGTCTTCCTCGGCTAATATGCTTTGAGTCAGCTCCAAGGCAGGCAGGCAGGCAGACAGACGTGCGTCATTTATGATTGCGAATAAGACAGCTGCCTCACTTTAGAGAAACTAGGAAGAATACTGTGTAGGTATTTATGCTCATTATCTGACTATCGTGACGTTCGTAACTGAAAAAAAAAATCTTAGAGGCATCCTGGACGTAGAGAGAAAAACTAGTGTTCATGCCGCTTTTCTACTGGCGCGTGTCAGCTCCTGTATGGCATTCACAACGCATGTTTGGGCAAGAGGCTTACATTCTTGAGATTCATGGTATTCATTAAATAAAAAACCACTCAGTGCCTGACCCGACTCACACTTCTCCTGGTAATGCGTTCGTCGACATAGCTGTCACGTGGGTCTATGTAGCTTGTCCTGGGCGTCCTGCGCTCAACATCAGTTACGCGACGCCTTGACACGCTCCTGTGGCGAGTGGTGCTGCGGCGTGGCTCCTCATAGTACTCGATGACTCGAGGTCGTGATCGTGATCTCCTGCATCAGAGTGTTAGATTCTGGCGAGGTAATTCACCGCAGCGGATAGGGAATTAAGGTACCTACCTGTACTCAACGTAGCGACCGTCATCGCTGATGCTCTCTGTACGGCGCCATTCACGTGGCAAGCGCATAACACCAGCTGGTGGGTGTGAGGTGAAGTTTCCGCGTCGTGGAGGTGGCTCGACGACAGTGCGTCCACGCGTCTCATAAGTCCTCATGATACACATTGTGCTTAGTTGATTGTTTGTTGTGTCGTGATTGTGTCTTTCTTGTTGCAGGGCTAGCCGGTCCGTTGGTGATGTTGAAGAGCGAGTGACACGAGTGCGCTTGGGGAAGCGATTGACGGATTTACGAGGCGTGTATGATTTGGGGAATCGAGTAGCAGGGTAACGTAGTAATACTATATAAATGTACACGGTAGTAAGCGGATGATGGTGCTCGAGAACGCACAGTGGAATGACGTGCGCCAAGAGACGCAGCCTGGGAAACTATTCCAAGGTTGTTGAGTTTTGTCGGTCTGGCCAAATTGACCAGCCTCTTCTCCCCGGTGCAGATAGACTTGGACGCGGACATGGCATGGGTGAACGTGGAAGATTTGGCCAGAGTGCCTGGCATAATGCTGGTTCTGGCTTCAACAACAGTGTGCGAGCTGTCTTGACGAGTGTCTCATCGACGTCACCCGACGCGTCGTCGATGGCATGACCCGGCATTCTAGCCTAGTATGTACATAAGCAACGACTGCAGCTGGGAGAGAGACTATCTACGTTCTGGACCTGTGACGCGTCGCAACCATGGTGATGATAATAATGATACAGACGACCATGTAGCCTGTTATGTATAAGGTGGATTGCTGCTACTAGGCCTTTCTAGCGATTCGCTAGCTCATGTACTAGACAATTTGCTAGATCAAAATATCAATGCTTACACCTAGAGTACGTGGTAGGAACGCGTTTTTTTGACAATGTCTATCCAAGTACATTCTGCAGAGTGGATAGCACCATATACGTAAACATGCAATCTACAGTTGTTGTCGTTAATCGGCAACCATGGTCCTTTGAAGGTATTGCCATTCTCTTTACTTTTAGAAACAGATCATAGAGCGGTGAGGCTGTTCAGGTAGAGTTCTGTTTTGTAAACATGTTCTGGTCATGTGAGGACCGAGTAATTGACAAGGGCTACTAGAAACCCCAGCTCAATTGAGTGTAATCACGTGATAAAACGTAGTTTCCGAATCGATGTAGCTAGAGAGGTCTCGACATGTAGCTAGAAAACAGCCATCTGTTTCATCTATAGAGGGGATCCCCTACATGGGCCAATTCAGCGCCAAGTATACCTCATTCGTGATACAAAGCTAACAAAAGAGGGTGAGGGGTGGATGTAGTATAGTAGCACAGAGGCTGAGTTGACAGCTGCACCCCACCTGCCCCGCTACTCGCGGCTGGTCGACGCTTGAAACGTACCCAAGCACGTACGTTGGCGGTGACGAGGCAGAAGCCACCGCTGGCAATGTCGTAGTGCCCATGTCCATTGTGAGAGAGAAACTCTGTCTTCTGTCGTCTTCATCTTCGCCATTGTATCGCCAGCACTGCCTGTAGCAGCTCATCGCCCGCCATGTCCCTCGTCTCAGGTACGCAGTACTTACTCACATGCAGTGCAACACACCCACTAACACTAAGCTACCACTACCACAGACGCCATATGGGCTGCCTCACCCACAACCACGCGCGGACAGGCCACGCCCCTCTCATCCGATCCAAAGGGCGAGCGCATCGCCTATGCGGCACGTTTTGATCTTGCTCTCGCCCATCCGCTGCGAAGCTAATTGAGTGTCTGCAGTCTGGCAAATCCATCTTTCTGCGCTCCATTGACGATCCCGCCGTCAGCAAGCAGTACACCCAACACACAACACAGACAACCGTCGCCCGCTTCTCGCCCTCGGGCTTCTATGTCGCCAGCGGAGATGTGTCGGGCATGGTCAGGGTATGGGACTGCGCCGGCGAGGGTGCAACAAAGGGCGAATACCCCATCATCGCCGGCCGCATCAACGACCTGGCCTGGGACGGCGACTCGCAGCGCATCATTGCCGTAGGTGACGGCAAGGAGCGCTTCGGCCACTGCATCACCGCAGACAGCGGCAACAGCGTGGGCGAGATCTCGGGCCACTCGTCGCAAATCAACTGTGTCTCCATTCGCCAGCAACGCCCTCTACGCGCAGCCACCGGCTCCGACGACACCAGCCTTGTCTTCTACCACGGCGCCCCCTTCAAGTTCAACACCAGCCTGCGCGGCCAACACAACCGCTTCGTTTTCGGCACCGCCTTCTCGCCCGATGGCTCCGTATTCGCCAGTGTGGGTGCCGACAAGCGCATCTGGCTATACGACGGCAAGACTGGCGAGGCCAAGAACCAGATCGGTGAGGGAGTCCATACCGGTAGTATCTTTGGCATCTCCTGGTCCAAGGACTCAAACAGGTTCGTCACTGCTAGTGCTGACCAGACTGTACGCATCTGGGATCCCGAAGCCGGCAAAGCAATCCAGACGTGGAGGATGGGTGACGAAGGCGTCGTCAGTGTGCCTGACCAGCAGGTCGGCGTAGTCTGGCCCACGGGCCGCAGCGATGGTCTGATTGTGAGCGTCGATCTGGATGGGAACCTGAACTACCTCGTCGATGGCAACCCCAAGCCAACTCGCGTCATTCGGGGCCACCAGAAGAACATCACATCAGCTGCCATAGCTGGTTCGACCTTCGCCACCGGCAGCTACGAGGGACGCGTCCTTGCATGGGACACGACAACAGGGCTGGCCGACAAGGTTGAAGGCGCAGCCCATACCAGCTATGTCGCTGGCATCACCACGTCCGACAGCAGTAGCGGAAAGGAACTCTACAGTGTCGGCTGGGACGACACCTTACGCTCCATTTCGGCACCGGACAAGATCTTTACTGGAGAAGCGCATGACCTCAAGTTCCAGCCCAAGGGCGTCGCTGCTACATCCAGCACGGTGCTCATCCCTTCATCCGATGCCATCGCCGTCTACTCCAAGGGCACTCAAGTCAGCTCACTAGCAGTCAAGTACACGCCTACATCCATCGCCACACATGGAACTACTGTAGCCGTGGGTGGAGATGACAAGCTTGTGCACATCTACACGCTTTCAGGCACCGAGCTCAAGGACACCGAGACGGTGTTGCGCCGCGCCACTTCGCCCATCTCAGCGCTTGCCTTCTCGCAGTCGGGTAGCAAGCTTGCCGTCGGTGCAGCCAACGGCAAGATATATGCGTACGACGCAAGCGCAGGTTGGAACCTCATCACGGACAGATGGAGTGCCCACACTGCACGCATTACCTGTTTGGCTTGGGATGAGAGCGAAAAGTACGCGGCAAGTGGCAGTTTGGATACTAACGTCATGGTCTGGAGTACGGAGGATCCCGGTAAGCGCATCAAGGCTCTCAACGCCCACAAGGATGGCGTCAACGGTGTGGCATGGGAAAAAGCAGCGAGGGTCATCTCAGCCGGCGGAGATGCAAGTGTCAAAGTATGGACTGTCAAGGCGTAAGTAGTTACGCCATCACTTTAACCAGAGATGCTGGCAGGAATCCGGCCAGGCATCTGAGAAAAACCCGGTTGGTGATTGATCATGTTCTAGATGTGTGTTCTAGCCAGATCAAGCCGCCTTTTTGAAGGACGCTCTAATACGGAGAGTGAAGCGGGAGACGTAGGTAGATGGCGGGGTTGAGCGCCCTTGCCCTTTTCGCTACCTACATATACGTAGTCTGATGACCTATCATCTATTTTCTCCACCCTCTCTTGTCCAATGCATGTTCCTTTTTTAATCCGCGTCAGATTGCACGTCGTCGGCTTGCGTGTGGCTGGCTACTAGATGCGGCTGCTCAGCCGCTATTCTACTCGTCGACATAACGGCTCATCTTCTACTCCAGCTATCGACTGACCCGGACAAGCGCCAGTCAGCCCTGTTTGCCTGATTTGCCTTGTTGTCTCCGGTGCGCCGCCACCTAAAAGTCGATAGCACATGCAAGCCAAGCAGAGGACATTTGTGGAGGACCAACGAGGCAATTATTGCCCTGCGGGTTTCTCGCAATTATATGCTCTGCCTCGTTGCTTCATTTTGTCCCGTTGAACCCGACTAGCCGTTGACAAAACTGCTCTTACACATACTAGTCTTTCATGGACAACTCTTTGGCCTCTGATCATCCCCATCTCCTGCCAATGGCAAACCCCCCCCACTTCGATAGGAATAGCATGATGCACCACTCCTCAGATAGTCAAAATCCTCGATATCTGAACAGCCCCAGTGTAACTGGGTCTGACTCTGAATGGATCGTTTTTCAGCAAACCACTTCATCGCCAATGCTTCAAGGATACAATCAGTCGGTCTACTCGTTTTCGGCTCCATTGGAGCCCCCAAGTTTATTGCATCAGGCTGCATCGCAGCCTTGTCCCCGCACAACCCGAAATCTATCTACATCCAGCGACTACTCGCAGTTTCCGGTGAACAATATCATGAGCCGGTCGGCATCCCAGTTCTCGTCCATGTCTTCCGGTCAGCACGCACATAGCTACAACACGATCCAAGCGCTACGCGGATCCTTCGACGGTGCATCACCTTTAGACATGACACGTTCGTACTCGAGCACTTCAGATAACCCAGAGACTGTAAATCAGCAGCCTTCAGTGCAGTCAGATTTCACGTTACCCAACTGGCATACTGGTGGACAATTCGCTTTCGCACCACAGGTTCCAAACCAACACGCCACAGCTGGCCCCTCGGCCCAGTACCAGTTGGACTTGAATGATAACTTGGGCATTGGAAACGGAAGCAGAAATCAGTCTTTGGATTGGAAAACACATACCAACGAGTAAGTATGATCCACAATCCTCTTGCGTACGATCACCAGCTACTGTTTATCAAATATGCCAAACTACGAACCGTACCTTGGTATTCGTTTGGATTCCGCACTTCTCCTGGTCCCAATGGATGCGCTTGGACGGACGTAGGCGTATTAATAATATTGTCGTGGAATTCTCCATGGATGCAACGGATTCCACCAGGATTACTGCTTTGTGAGCCAATCATCTTTGGATCAGACCACGGCACCGGGCCAGATATTCCTACTGGCAGATTTTAAAGATCTTCGAGCCTATGTATGGCCGTCTATCGAGTGACCCTGGCAGGAAAAGTCGGCATCCTAACCTCAAAAGGCTCTGATAGATCTGAAGACGATAATTTCGAACATGGACACGCTTGGAGCTAATTTGTGTGCGATTTTATTCCTGCGGAGAGCCACCCACTGGCTGCTGGCAACGAGTACAGAATTCAATCTCCACATACTGGCACTTTCATTGTCTTACCACCTGGTTAATGGAGCACAATCCTACTACCATTGGACATCCATCCTTTTTTTCGACTCTACGACTATATATCCCAAATCTCCCCGGGCCCAGACTTTTTTCCTGGTTATTGAACTTCCATTGGATATCACTTGACGTGCTTCTTGGATCCATCTTCGAAGTCGTCAACTGGCGTTAATTAATGTAAGATTTCTTCACTTGTTATGATTCTCGGCATCATATGCTCGACCGAGCTGCACTGTCGTAAGAGAATTAGGGGTTTACCATTGGGATCAAGTGCTAGCTGGTCATTTCCTTGGTGTGTTTATTTTGCTGTTTACTCTCTATGCACTTAAGTCTCTCCATAAGGACGTCAAGATCCCCCAGCAGAAACCGATTTCACGCCGGGCAGATGATATCTCACTTCTGCAATACCGGTGTCATCAATACATTTTTCCAGAACGGAAACCATCTGTTCGAAAATTTTCATCTCATATCGTTCACTATCGACTTAGCATCCAATCCGACAACATCTAAGTTGCTCCTCGGATGATATCGCTCTATATCTCCGTATATCGTCACCACGATTGGTTATTCAGATCAACGTTTTTTCAATCGTAAAACTACTTTGAAAAATGCCGAGTCTTTGTTCAATTTCTGACCAGCGCTCAGACGAACTCATTCTAACATCAGAACAATAGATTTCCAAATCACTTTCACCCTTTCCCATCGAGCCAATCTCAGTCGACAGGAGCTTTCGGCCAAAGTCTAGCTTATGAGCAGTCAAAGTAGGTTAGGTATATCGCCCTTATCTTGAGTCTACTGACATGATCAGTCCACCACCCCCGTCCTCGCATCACAATAGTATTCCCACATCCAGTCAGGACAACGATTCACCATGTAGTTCGTCCACTGCTACCCCGACGGCTGCCACAACTGTTCAAAATACACTCACCTCCCAAGCTACCGGAGGCGACCCCGTCATCGGCCAAGTAACTCTAGGTGGAAGATTCACCTGCCTAAGCAAAATCTGTCGTGATGATGAAACCCTCACATTCAATCGTCACGCCGACTTCAAACGTCACTACACCAACATGCACGCGAGAAAACTGACGGAATACTTTTGCCCGGAAAAGGGGTGCCATCGCTCAAGGCATCCCGCGGATGGAAAGAAAGGGCGAAGTTTCAAGGGGCGGAGGGATAAGATGAAGGAGCATGTGAAGACTGTGCATGATAACCGTGCCAGGAAACGAAGGAGAGTTGAAGAGAGCGAAGAAAAAGATGAAGATGAGGATCCCTTGGGGACTGATGGTAATGATAAGTCAAGGTTGTAACGATAGGGTGGTGATGTGTTGTGCGGGCAAGGGACGTGGTTAGGTCTTGAATACTTCTTACTTGTTTTTTTAGTTATTCATATCAAGGTAGCATTTCATGCTGGATATCTGTATTCTATTTCAATTTATAGGTATGACCCAATGACTGTATTATTGGCTTGCATAGTAGGAATGCTGTGACAGAAGTGATACGGCTACTACCCTTTTCAGGATGCCTCATAGTATGCTGATCGCAAGCAAATCTCGGCCGAGTTCTCCGCTGGATGTACGGCTCCGACTGGGAAACTTTGGCGCATATGTGCAGCCCGCAGCTCATTACATATCGCAGCGGGGAACTGAGGAGATAGGAAGAGGCAAGGTGGGGCGAGGGCGGGGCTGATCAGTTGAGAGCAGATAACATGATCCGAGACAGGCAGGGATGTCGGCACATTTTATACCACCGTTCTCAAACAGGCATTGCCGATGTACTCGGATCAAGAAACCAACACAACTATTTTGAAAAAAAAACACCAAGGTTCCTTCAAATTTGAAAATATACCGATATCAATTCATTAGACCATTAGGCACAACCCAGTAGTACCCAGACGCTAGAAACATCTCATACACTCATTCCAATGTCATCGCCTAAGATCCAGCTCCAACAAGGAACAGTCGTAGGCACTCTCTTACACGGAAAATACCCTCATGCAGTCGAGGCATTCCGAGGCATTCCATATGCCTTACCACCGACCGGTGACCGTCGGTTTAGGCCACCAGAAAAAGTCGGAAAAGGCGAAGGCATTATAGACGCAACGAAATTTGGACCCAGGGCTCCCGCACAGCAATTCATCAAACTAGGGCCAGTATTAGACGAAAGCGAAGATTGTTTGACTGCGAATGTGTTCCGTCAAGCGGGAACTGAACAATGCACCGGGCTACCGGTTGCGGTTTATTTACATGGAGGAGCTTTTAATCGTGGGAATGCTGCTATGCATGATACTGCGTCAATGGTTGGGTGGTCTGAGAAGCCATTTGTTGCAGTCTCGTTTGGGTATCGAATTGGGGCGTTGGGTTTCCTTCCATCGAAGCTTAGTGCTAAAGAGGGTGTGCTCAATTTGGGCTTGAAAGATCAGATATGCTTGTTCGACTGGGTTGAGGAGAACATTGGAGCATTTGGGGGCGACAAGAACTGCGTTACTCTTATAGGTCTTTCAGCTGGTGCACATTCGGTATGTTCAATCATTTCTGTTTCGGCTGCTTAATTGCTCATGCTACGCAGATTGGCCACCATCTACTCAACTACGAAGAGGGCAAAGCACCAAAATTTCATCGAGTCATTATTGAATCTGGTGCACCGACATCCCGCGCCGTCCGCAACCCAGATGCGGAGATTCACGAGATGCAATTCCGGGACTTTTTGAAAGAAGTCGAATGTCCACCATCATTACCCGAGTCCGAAATCTTCACCTACCTCCGCAACCTCCCCACCTCAACCATAGCCAAAGCCCAAACCAAAGTATTCTCCAAGTACAACCCCAGCTTACGTTGGGCATTCCAACCCGTAATCGACCACGAAATCATCCGCAGCCGCCCCATCGACGCCTGGCGCGACGGCCACTGGCACAAACTCCCCATAATGACGGGCTTCCAAGGCAACGAAGGCTCCCTCTACGTCAACAAGTCCATGTCCACCCCTTCTGAATTCCTCGCCTTCTGGAAAACGCTTCTCCCACAGCTAAGCAGCGACGACATCGAAGCAATCAACAGCCTCTACCCGGACCCGACCTCCGACCCAACCTCCCCTTACAAAGAAACACGACTGGATCTGGGCGTCGGACCAATGTACAAGCGCATAGAAGCGTCCTACGCGGACTACGCATATGTAGCTCCCGTGCGCCAAACTGCCTTCTTCGCCTCCCCACACGCACCTGTGTACCTCTACCACTGGGCCATGCGCCGCGACGTCATCGACGGCGCTCGTCACGCTGACAACATGTTCTACGAAGTGCGCGACCCGGCCGTCTGCTCGCAGTTGGCGTCTCAAGACGAGCTATCTGGGATTTTGCATGCGTATGTCACCAGTTTCATTTGTACGGGGCGTCCGAATGCGGTTAAAGGACCGTTTGGGAATAGGCCTGAGTGGGAGGCGTATAAGAGGGGTGAGGGGAGGGTTATGATGTTTGGGAAGGGGAATACGGAGTTGATAGGGGGAAGTGAGGTTGGGGAGTTGGCAGGCATGGTGCCGGATGAGTATGCGGTTAGGGAGAGTGGGTTTTGGTGGGGAAAGGTTGAGTTGTCGCAGCAGTAGGTTTGGGAGGTGGAGGAAGGGGTAAGAGATGCTTTGATGTAGTATTAGAGCTTGCTACTACTGCTTGCTGGGATGGGCTTGGTGGGAAAGCATAGAAGCGGTTTTCTCTATTCATCCATACCACCACTTTTCTCATCATATTTTCTCATTTTTAATTCTGTATTCATCGAGTCATCTTGTTCCCCGAGTTTCATCATGTTGTATTACAATGATGCAAGTACGTCGCCATCCCAGTGTCTTGGCAAAACGTGTTATCGGAGGTTGATGTACCGCCGGGAAACACCTCCGATAGAGGACTGGGCATCTATGATACGGTTGTTTGCCTCAAGAGTGGGCCAGCGTTGATAGGACAATGTAGCCAAGCCGCTACGAATTGCAAGGAATGGGAAGTTTTGCTCAAATCATCTTCTTGCGTAGTCGTACTAACGCCATCCGAACTGTTCATACAGGTTTTTTGACTTTAATCAATGATCGGGCTACGTATCTTAACCGAAGGTGAGCTGTCTACTATCTGGTGCAGCAACACGACTCTGCAGTGCATTGCTACCCATGGCTCAACCTTGCAGCACCCCACATTCTCCAACAGTGTTTTTGGAAAGGATGTTGCATTTGCTCCGAGTGCAACATTCCTGCGATAACGAGATAGGAAGGAACTACGGTTGACATGCGATTGCGATGTAACCAGGACCATGGATAAGGTTCATCCAATATCTCCTTTATCATCTGGTATCTTTGCGGGGATATCGCACGACAAGCCGTACCAAGGTCCATTCGGTCTTGCGTGCTCCAAGACAAAATGCAATAAGTGAATCCCCACCACCACAAGCTCGTTTCATCCAGCTCTCAACGCTCGCAAACTCATCTTCGACCTGGAACTTTCCGATCGCAATCATGAAGACCGGCGCCGACTTTCCCAAAGAAGAAGGCAAGAAATCAGCCATGTCAAAAGACATAGAGCTCCAACAACCCCACGCTTTCGACGGAGACTCCCTGAACAAGAAAGAAAGCGAAATCGAAGGCCAAGTTGAAGACCTCGATGAAGCAAATATATTCCTGCGACAGCACAACATCACAACAGAATACATAGCCGAGCTACTCGATGACGAAGCAGCCAACAAGCGTGTATCCCGGAAAGTCGATCTGCGTTTACTCCCGCTACTATGTGGTACCTACTTCCTCCAATTCATTGATAAGCAAGCCATCAGCTACTCCGCCGTCTTCGATCTCTTCGAAACAACCGGCATCACCGGCGCACAGTACTCGTGGCTCGGTTCCATATTTTACTTTGCCTACCTAGTCGCTGAGTGGCCCTCCGCCTATCTCGCCCAACACTTCCCCACCGCCCGCGTTGTCTCCATCTACTGCTTTTGCTGGGGGTCCGTCATGCTCGTCACCGCTGCGACGAACAACTTTGCAGGGTTTGCGGCTATGCGGTTTTTGCTGGGGATCTTTGAGTCGGTTGTTACGCCGGCGTTTATGATGGTGAGTCCCCTCAACATACCAAGTATCTACATAATCAGAACAAGAAAACTGACCCGCGAGCGTTGTTTTTCTGGCAAACAGATCGTAGGTATGTGGTACATGGGTGACCAACAACCCGCGCGCGCAGGCATGTTCTACTGCTTCAACGGCATGGGCGCCGCCATCGGCGGCATCCTCTTCTACGGCGTTGGCTACGCCAAGAGCTTCACCGTCTGGAAAATCATATACCTCATCTGTGGCGGTATGACGGTGCTCTGGTCTTTACTCCTCTTCTTCAAACTCCCCGATAATATCATGTCTGCGAAGAACTTTTCGGTAGAGGAGAAGGCGCTGCTGATTGCACGGGCCGCGAAGAATCGTACCGGCGTGTACAATCGCACGATTAAGCCACGCCAGATTCTCGAGGCTTTGACGGATGCGCAGGTTTGGTTGCTTTTCGTTTATGTGCTGCTGAATGAGGTTATTAATGGGGGTATGTCGAACTTTGGTAAGTTGATCATCAAGGATGTGGCGGGCGGCGATGCGCTTCGGACTACATTGTACGGTATTCCGCAAGGCTTTGCACAGGTGTTTTGGGTATTTACGGGTCCGTTTATTGCGTCTCGTCTGCCGAATGCACGTACGTATATGATGGCGCTTTACCTGTGCCCTACGATTATCGGGACTACTTTGATTTGGCAGTTGCCGCGGACGAATCTTGCAGGGTGTCTCGCGGGATACTATTTGGTATGTATTCACTCGATTCCGCGGGTAGCTGGACCGGGTTTTGCTAAAGAGTTAACTCAGGTTGGCTCCTACGTGGGTGGACTAGTGATCGCACTCCAATTCCCCGCATCCAACGTCGCCGGATACACGAAGCGGACGACTGGAACAGCGTTTGTTTTTCTAGCATATTGTATCGGTAACATCATCGGTAAGTACTTTTATGAAGCCCCGAACTTATTGCATCCCCTTGATTGACCTCAAAACCCCCCAGGACCCCAAGCCTTCCTGGCCAAAGAAGCCCCCATCTATGAAACAGGTGTTAGGACAGTCTTGGCTTGCTCAGTCGCTCAGTTCTTCCTGGCCTTTGTCATTCGAGCTTTGCTCGCCCGACGAAATGCCCAGCGTGATCGTGAAGAAGCTCAAGGCGACCAGCATGGTACTGTCAGTGATGTGGGCGTCATTGAGGATGCTACGGATTTTCACAATCGAAAGTTTCGGTACAGGTTGTAGATTGTATATCTGGTGTACATAATCGCTTCGAGAATTGATTTTGTACACCTTGTTGATTATTACCAAATCTTGGACATGTGTCTTCGCATCTACCAAGGTCCGCCTTTAAATGCACCTTGTAGTGTGGTCAGCCAAAAGATATCCGTACCTGTCTAGTGTCAAACGAGGCGTTAGTGTGACTGTAGAGCAAACTTTTCATAGTTGACTAAACGGATTTTCAAGAGTGACATTGCAGTTCTCATCAGGAGAAGGAAACCGCGTCGCCCAACTAGTGGATTTGAAACATGGAAGACGCGTACATAGCGTTGTCTGGCCCTCAGGATCTTGCTTACGGTAGAAGCGTTCTGGATCATCCTTGCATTATTGGCTTTATTACTAATGTGTCTGTACGCATCATTGCGACTTTGGGAATCTGATATACTGCGCTTTGTAAGTTCAGCATCGATGCTAACGATGGCTTTATAGGCATAGATGTTGGGTGCTGGGCGCGTTATGAGAATCTACAGCAGCTTTGTGGTAACCTTGTGTTTAATGGACGGGGTTTTGATGTAGGATGGTGTGATAACGTCGAAGCTGGTTATGGTGTCTCGGAGGACATGGTATAGGTTGGATGGCTGGATGTAGGGGCATAAGATACTTTCATCTGGTAGAATTACGTTCATTGCTAGAATTGTGTCAAGTGCGAGTCTTGTATAGCCTTGAATGAGTGGGTGTTGATGACAATCAGAGAAGGGGGTCGGATGCTGGATAGATGCCGCGTATACATTGGATTAAGATTCTTTGATCAGATTATTGCAAGGTTATTGATTTACAAACGATCATCTAACGCAGTTGTTGAATTGTTACTCACTAAGGCCAATACTATCATATATTCCATATATCCATGAGAATTGTATGTATCAACCTAGATAAGCTACCTAACGTAAATAGCTTGATAGCTAGCTCCGAATCTAGTTCTGTAGTAGTTGGCAAAGAATTAATTCCCAGGAGAGCTTCCTGAGCACCAGGATATGAAGGAAAACTTTCTGTGGTGGCGAAAAATTAAGGGAAAGTTGGGTTTAACAGTGAAATAGTTTTCTAGATCTAGGGGTTATTTTTAGTTTTCGAAGAAAAGAGATTCGGAGTCTCTCGATTAAGTATTCTTCAGACTTGATCTTATGTTACTTTGTCAAAGTTACCAAAGCGAATACTACCATTCAGAGTCACAAAATTGATTTCTCATGATATTCAGTATCGAAGAAAATAGCCGATATGTAATTGAAAAGTTACCGTCAGGTAGCGCTAGCTTGTACTCTTTAGACAAAGGTATGAGATAAGTTAATAGAGCGATTTTCCATTTGTACGAACAAACTTTAAGATATAATACAATCATAAAATACAAATCCACGACCCAATATTGTCTTCATAGCCACTTTCGAAAGATAGTCACCAAAGAGTCATCCTACAACTCTTCCGTACAGCAACCGATGACACCAGCCAATTGATACATCTGCACCTGCGAAACACATCTTTCCCCCATCCAGAGTTTTCTAACGAGATTAATCACCATCGTTTTGATAGTGTCTCTATGAACAGTTCCAATGTTGCCACCCATTGGGCACGCGGTCTGCTTTTCCAGACTAGCAGACCCATGACCCCAACAACCACACTACGAGGTACCACTTTCTTGGCAAACCTTATCGCAACGTGCTTGAAAAACATATTCTGCTTTTGCCTCACCCGCTCCGCATGCTCCGCTCTCTTGTTCTTCGTAGGAAATGGAACCTTAGGTACCTCTTTGTCCAGAAACTCGCATAGTGGCTCCCAGCCATCCTCCAAGCGGAACTCAAGCAATCGCTCTTTCGGCACTGCAGCCCGAATCTCGGCATAGTGTTGCTTGTACCGGTCCTTGGCTACTCGGCGCATCTCATGAACGTTTCGTACGCCGTAAAATCCCAACATGATTTTGCGAATCGTCTTGCCGCCATTCAGCCCATACAGCGGTCCCAGCATATTGATGATAAGATCCGCACGCATTCCCCATGTGGTGCTGAAGATAGCCTCTTCCATACTGTCATACCATGAATCAATATCGCGCTCTACCAGGATGACCTTGGCTTCTGGGTATGCCTCGATGAGTTGCATAGCAAAGAAGGAGCCCATATCAGTGACTGCTTCGTAGGGTCCAAATAGAATGTCCCAGTCGGCGCGTGTAAAGGGCGCTCCTGTGTATGTTGGGAGAGTAGGAAAGTAAGAGTCGCAGGCCTTGTTGAAAAGCTGCCACTCGAGAGGCGAGCTGAGAGCCTGAATTCCATGGTGTACGCCTTGGTATCCTAGCATCTCAAGGGCTTGAGTAATCGAGGCTGAACCTGTTTTTACAAGTCCAAATCGGTCAGTTCAACGTATTTCCTATGCAGTATGGTATTCGAAGTCAAAAGTTGAGTGCACTCACCAGTACGTGTCATGCCCAATGACAGCACCTTCAACTCTCGCTTAGGGCGATTGATATCGGAAGCTGGTGTCGACATTATTAAGGGACTAATTATCTTGTTCATGCAATAAATCTCGACAAAAAGGCTTGAATGAAATTAAAGCAAGACTGGAAGCTATTTTTAACAACCTTAATAACGATGACAAATCGTTTTTGTTTCGTTCTCTTATCACTGTAACCTGTGGGTAGTCCTCCCTGAACATTCCATCTACTAGAACATAAACCACGTGCTTGCAAGATTGGCAGCGAGTCTGTCGTCAATTCATTTTACCGAAGAATAGCCACGTCCGTTCATCTGAGCCATCACTAACTGGATCTTGGCTTGATCGTGCTCAGCCAACTACCCTTCGGGTTGGGTTGTGAGGGCACTGCCGATCTATCGGGAAACTCGGCCGTGACTTCGAACATGCGACAGATGACTCGTAAATCGCTATTTACTTGATCGAGCAACTAATTCGAACATGCTCCGTGTTGCACGGTGATCCAGCCGTGGAGACGATGCTCGTGTCACAGTTTTACGTATACCTCAACGGGTAGGAAACTATTACGACAACACTTAACTAAAAGAAAAAAGGAATAGAGCTCCGCTCCGGGGTGTGGGGACATGAATCGAGTGGATTTTGGGAAGACGCCCTGCAGATATACTCTAAACCCTTGGCAATGCTTCTCCGCGGATCGAAGTCCCCTTTTTGCCTTGTTAGCTGCGTTTGATACCTGCAATTGATCAATGTATTAGACGCTAAAAGGTCTTGGCAGGACCGGGTGTCGCCGCTTCTACCACCAGAGAACGGACAATAACGGAAACATCCGATTTATCGATACGACTTGTCAGTAACCATCGAAAGAGTATGGTGAGTCAGAATCACCACAAATCATCCTTGCCTGTTGCATTCAAGTTGTTATGCTGGGAATCAAGTTAAGCATTCAATGTCAGCTTGCCATGTTGTGTTAAAGTGTAAGGTGTCACATACCTAACACCTTCTTGCTACAACCAAGTGGATATTGCTGAACATCTGCAGTAAGAACGGAAAAGCATCTCCGTTCCACCACTAACCCATATAATTCAGCCATGTCCCGCTACAATAAGAAGTATTAGGTAAGCAAACAGATCAACATCTTCTCTTATCAACTTGACTTGTAGTCAGCGACTGACTTTTGCATTGGGATCTCGAGATTGAAAAAAGCCATCGGTTATCACACCGATCTTTTACGCAACCACACTGCTTCATAACGCAAATCGTGATAGTAAAACAACCGATTTATCGTTATACACTGACTAAGGAAGAGGATATCGTACGACATGCAGCATGCTGCACGTCAAGTTTGATCCACTTGATCTAGTTGTATAACACGCGCGTCACAAAACTCAGGGTCATATACTGACAACAAAGGTGCGAAAAAGACGCTTATTTGCGCAAGTATTGCGAACCAATGGAGGCAAGTTGAGCAGCACGTGGGGGAACTAAACTAGCACTCTACTTTGCGTGCATATTCAAGACAAGCATTCCCAGTGACGATCTTCGCTGAAGCGAGAATGCTTGTATGGAAGATTAAGCAAATTCTTTCCAGGGGCCCGGAATGCGGAGCTTCGACTCTCCATATGAGCACGCTAATCGCATTCGGTCCGACTTTGGTCGTTCGGCTCGGTCGTCTCTAGACATGGCCATGACTCGAGGTTTGGCGTTTGTATCGATCATAGGCAAATGGAGAGGAAAATCTACAAAAGTGGTATGAGGCTGTGTTCGTCGCCGAAGCTGCAGTGCAAGCAGGATTGTGAGCGAGTTGATAGATTGAATTCCATCTGCTGGTGAAGCTATCAGTAAAGTGTACTGATATTGATTTTCACATATTTGTAGATTTTGCCATACTCTACGTTGCCATTTATATTTTGATGATAGAATTGTTAATTAGAATTCTTTTTCGTACATTCGGAAAGGCTGTGTGGTGATGTTGATTCACTGTTCTTGGAAACAGGGGCAGAAGGTGAATTAAAGTGTAGCCGAGTGATCTTAAGATTAAGAAGTATCTGACGTAGCCAACTCATGATTTCTGTCCAGAAACTCAAAATTGCCACTAATCTATAGCAACTCTCAATCTGCACCTAACCGCTGCATCTCTAGCTACTGGACTTCCAGGACTGCACACAATGGTGAAGTTGTGCCAGTCTCTTTCCAAATCAATGTCCAATCCCTCGATGGCATCGTATCTCTGTACCATTCGTACTATCACATATCCAGCCTCTGTAAGTGCAAACTGCTGCCCAATGCATATACGTGGTCCGCCATTGAAAGGGACGTACTGCCAAGTCATTCCAGGTCTCTTCTTTTCCCACCGCTCAGGCACAAACTCGTCTGCATCGACACCCCATAGATCTTTCCGTCGATGAAGTACATGCGTGCTGAAGTTGACTTCTGTCCCCTTAGGTACGAAGATGGGCATATTTCCATCCGGACCCCCGCCTGTGGGAAGCGTCGTATCTCGTACGGCGCAACGCGAGTTGAAAGGTACAACCGAATGTAAGCGCAACGCCTCGTTCAAGACGTGTTGAAGATAGGAGCATCCCTTTAGTTTCTCAAATGTGATACTCTGCCCTACTGTACTTGAGTAAGGACCAAAAGTTTCGAGAATGGTTTCGCGTAGCTTGGTGTATATCCGTGGATTTCGCAAGATACAATAGAAGACCCAAGCTGTAAGGGATGCCGTTGTATCCCTGCCAGCGGCTAAGAGCCCCAGGACTTGCTCACGTACTTCGGCGCGGTCAGAGTAGCGGGCACGCAGTGACTCTAAGAAGTCGTAGCGAAGCTTGGAAGATCCTTGCTCTCGGGACTGATCAGCTGTATCGATGGCGTCGTCGACAAATTTGTGGAGTGTCTGAATACATTGTTTCAATTCTTTGTTTCCATATAACCAATAGAGGCTTCGCAGTCGCATTCTTGTTCCCAAGATGCTCAGCATGCGCTCAAAGGCATGACCAAAGTCGTCTTGTTCGTGCTGAATCTGTTCGCGTCCTTTGCGTTGGATGGAGAGAAGCGATCTCAGAGAGTGTGTACTATGGCCAAGGAACAGCTCGGTTGCTGAGTCCATGGTGAGACGCGGTAACAGGGCAGCCAGACTCACAGGTGCCGACCAAGCTCGGCCATCGTCGTCAATCCTAGATTCCTGTTCCATTGACTCAATGATCCGAAACATCGTTTGGACGTGTTCCTCGAGTAGATCAAGCTTGGAAATACTTTCTCTGGAGAAGATAGGTCGCATAGCCTCGCGGGACCGATGCCAAACCTTACCATCTACGGCGAAGATGCTTCGTCCGAGTGCTGTCTTTAGGTTTGTCCTCCTGGCCGTGCCCATGATGAAATCTCCAAACTGTGTTGCAAGTATTGCCTGCATATTCTGCGGCTCAGCAGTAATGAAATTCGATGTACCGAGCACAGATAATCCCCAAGTATAACGGCCCATTTTTTTAAAGCGCGCAGCCACAAAGTCAGGTGTCCTTTGCTCTTTGTCAGCTCTCAAACTGCGGCGTACCAAGTCAATACCGAGAGGCCATCGTGTCGGCTCGAAAGGGACCGGACCACAACCGAGTCGACGGGCTTTGATAGAATATCGTAGTGGCTTGATGAGAGTGACATTGACGATGCATAGTAGCAGAGAAATACATATCCCTGGGAGCAGATAGTTTTGCAGCATCTCAGATGCGTTAGTTGTGGTGTTTTATGAGTAAGTGGTGGTTTCCAATAGTTGAGCAATTTAAGGGCTTAAATATGGCCATCGGCTATGCCTGTTTCGAGAGCAAGTCTTGTCCACGTGCGTGACACTAAACAAGGGGTTGGTGACCACTAAAGGTATTTGATCCCGTGTTAAATCTGGGTCGCTAGGCCTTTACAGGCGAAAAGGTGGGGGATTTAGTAGTAGTTACTCTGCTCACCGAGGAAGATACTATAGTCATTTTGATTACAATACGATGATATCTACTCCGATTTTCTCTCACACTGATAAACTCTCAACCCTTTCTTGATAGAAACTACGTCCAAATTTCTTCTTGCCGCCTTTATTGATCAATATCAGATACAGGTGTCAGGTTAACACGCAGAGGTAACTTTTCCCACACCAGATAAGTCCCTTGACTGTTCCACCAGTCGTTCTCGGGATCGTGCAGCTCCCAGTCAAAATACCGAACAAGCTTCTGTAGGCGGTCATTAGTAGTCTTGCTTCACACAAGTATTTGGAACATAGTGAACATACCGCCATAGTGAGTGACATCTCAGCATAAGCCATACTGCAGTAGCCATAGTAGTCAGCACATGTTTCCGGTTTACCTGCTGTTCTGGTTATACTCACGATCGTCCAATGCAGGCCCTTTGCCCATAAGAGAATGGTTGAACAGCAGAACGGTCGTCATTCTGAAACTCTGAGTCTGGCTCATCAAGCCATCGCTCTGGGTGAAATTCGCGTGCGCATTTGAAGTTGTGCTCTGAGTGCCCAGCCGCCAATTGGTTGACACCTACAGCATAGCCACCTGGAACCCATTTGCCCTCTATCATCTCACCCTTTCCAGGAACAAATCGCGGCAGCGATCCTGGAGTAGGCGGATAGAGGCGCATTCCCTCGTTAAGGCAAGCGCGCAGATATTTGCAGCTAGTGACAGCCTGCATTGTCATATCACTGCGCCGTTTGAACTGACTACGGATCTCTTGTTTGAGTTTCTCAAGTTTATCTGGGTTGCGCAGGAGCAAGTATGTCAAGCCAGACATACCGCCTGCAGATGTGCCACTGCCAGCCACGATGAAGTTGGATGAAAGCATGACCAGTTCGAGGTGATTGAGCTTCTCATCATTCTCGAGGATATAAGACCTGTTGTGTGTAGTTGTCAGCACTCTATCGATGATCCGATACAAATCGGGTATGATTGGGTAGAGTTACATGAAATCCTTGCCAGCATTCTTGGCTTCAACCCGTGCTTTTAATTTCGCCTCAGTCATGGCAATGTGCTTCTTTCTCGATTCGACAACGTATTTTGGAGTCATCCAGTTGAGAAGACCCATGAAACCATACTGCACAGCAAGCTGAAACCACACGATAGCTTTGGCACGAGCCAGAATAGCTTGTATCCATGGTTGGTCGGGGTTGTTGACACAACCTGACGGCTCGCCAAATGCCAGATCGGATACAATATCGAATGCGACAAGATTGTACCATGTCGTCATATCGAGTGGTTCTGTTTTACATCGCTGATGTAACTTTTGGACAAGATTATCTGAGTGATCTTGGAAATACTGTTCCTGTTCGCGTCTAGTTTTTGAAAAGAAACGTCAGTATGAACTTGTTATACCAAGTCACATGAGAGAAAAGATTTCAACTTACAATGCCCTTTGGCTAAAAGCAGGGTCTATAGCTCTTCTAAGCCTCAAGTGTCTATCCTGGTGCTCAGTCATCAAGCTACGCTGACCACCAATGCTTGCTGGAGCGATGCCTCTGCCATCTAGAGCTTTGACAAACTCTGGGTTTCGTTGTCCGTATATCTTTTTCCACGCTCCCGATGTCGTATATGAGAGTTCATCAGGAGCAATGCGCACAACTGGGCCGTACTGATCATGAAGTTCACGTATTTTCCAGCTGATTCGACCTTTCATATTGGTGTAGTTCCATGGCAGGCGAGAGATAGCCCATAGTTTTGGCCCAGGATAGCCAGCAAGAGGACTCAGATAGAGATTGTACACTACCTTCCCCGTAATATGGAGTAGGATCTGTAGAGCATTATGAGGTGGAGTGGAGAATGTCGCTAAAATTGAGACTTACAAAAACGAAAATGCCAGTGATGATATTACAAAATGTAAATAGTGGTGCTTGGGTGAATTGGTATCCAGCACTGTCCAGCACCGATGCGCTCGTCATTTTGTTCTCGAACAAGAAATATCCAATTGACTGGAGGTTTGGAATGCTTCCAGCTCAGCAGTTGAAAGAAAATGCACGGCAGCAATCGAACAGCATACGGCGGGTACAGCTGGAACGAGTCTAGGAACGCGGAATCCATTCTCCTTGTGGTTTTCAGTTTTTGCATACAATAATCAATAAATCCGAGTATTGCGGTACACATCAAGCCAATCAGAAGTTTACAATTAGACACGCCCTCGCGGCCTGTGTAAGTCTAGTAAACACAAGCGACGCTAGGGAAGAATGGTAACCAGCTCGGAGAATTATTTCGGCCCTTGGCGATCGGACCGATCTTTGCCCCGAGTGTGGCGTGCAGACCGTTGCAACCGAAGACATGGGTTCTGTGTAGTCCAGTTTTAGTCCGCAATAAGAATGTGGGGGCGGTTTAGTCGAATAATTCGATTGGCAACCCAATCGTACTTGTGAGCTTTAACCACGTGGTAGGAAATCAGTGCAGTATTACCAAAATGACCCGCATGAAGATAGTCAATCAATACCTCAAGCGGTAATACAGCGATACCACCACGTTGTGAAAACGGCCCTTATTGTTGCTAGTTGTTTGAGGATTCGATGCGGAGACCCCAGCAAGCAATTCGCAGGGTTTTTGCCTATCCATGCAAACCACGTCCTACACAGTAGTTTTAGCATGTTGAGATCGGATGTCTACATCCATTCCTTGTTTCTGCAACCGATCATGGTCATACGATGTAAATCAGATTCTCCGGATACCTTCTTCGTCAACATAGTCATTGTACGATTACCAACAATCAGTATTCTCACTTTGTGTTTGTTAACTTACAAGTCATCGACGGATTCGTTCAGAAGTCTGTGATACCACATCGAAGATGGATAGCGAATACGAGAACAAAACCCTTACCTCATTAGGCGAGTCCATCCGTTTAGAGCTTCAGCAGAGGCTCTCAAGCAAAGCAGAAATATACCTGCCGTTCGATGCAGATACATCGCAGTTTGAAAATGCTAATTTGCGTTTCACTCAGTATTCGCGTCCTACATACCTCGCCATTGTCGATCCAGGTTGTCAAGATGACGTGGTCGAGGCTGTCAAGTACGCTCGAGAAAAGAATATTCCATTCACACCTCGAGGCGGCCATCATGCTGTCACCAGTACTATGAGGAATTTCAAAAACGGGATATGCATAAATATGCGACCACTCAACCAGATGCAATGGAACGCGGAGAAGCGACACGTCACTATCGAGGGAGGCGCAATAACGGATGAGTTTGTAAGATACCTGCATAGTTTGGGTATGGAAGTGAGTAAGTACGGTAAGCCATTTAGGTTTGGAATCATGACTGACAGCATGTAAAGATGTCGGGTCATGTCCTACTACTGGTGTGATCGGTGTAGCCTTTGGTGCCGGTCTAGGACGTTTGCAGGGCAAGTACGGCTTTCTACATGACAACATGGTCTCTTGCAAACTTGTACTCGCCGACGGCAGTGTGGTAATAGCTTCAGAAACTTCGCATCCAGATTTGTTCTGGGGTATCAGAGGAGCAGGCCACAACTTTGGAATCGCACTCGAGGCTACGTTTCAAGCCTACCCACAAGCACACGGAGGCATACATCACACATGGGACTTTGAGTACACCCTAGATCAGTGTGATGAAGTGTTCCGAACACTAAATAGTGTATCTGAGATCATGCCTGCTGAATTGGCAATCTTTATTTTATGGCTACGACAGAGTGATGGTCGCAAGGTATTTAGTCTGATCTCTCACATTTAAGGGTCTTGCTAAGATTTGGCAGCACATCATCCTTGTTAATTTGGTATGGTCTGGACCATTGACAAGCGCAGACACTTACACGAAACTCTTCGAGAACTTGGACCCTGTTCTCCACAGTGGGCCAAAATCTGTGCCCTGGCCGGAATTGCCATTCTCCACGTACAAGGAGATGAACAAACTTTACTGCAAGACGGAAGTTTGGCTTTTGGCCCCTAACAAGATGATGGGCGCAGCTTGTGTGAAGTCATTTGACCTGAAGACCACACGCGAGTTTTTTGAGAGTGTTAAAGCCATGAGCGAACAGTGGGAAGGACGGGGCTGGTTTAGCGCAATGTTCGAATGTTTGCCAGACCAGCGTGTGCGAGAGATATCTCATGATGCGACAGCGTTCCCTTGGCGTGGAGGATCAAACCACTTCCTGTAAGTCGACTGCTTTCATTTGTAGTCAAACAGATGGCTAACATGAGATATCAGGATGTTAAACGCTACACCAGCACGGGTAGAGGATCGGCCAGCTTTCGAAAGCCATCTTGACCACTGGAAACAACGCTTCATAGACACGTCTGGGTACGGCCGCTTGCAGCAATATGTTAACTATGGGAACAGCACGGCCACCATGAAAGATCCTCTAGAGGCACTATATGGCTATGAGCCCTGGAGGCTGGAGAGACTCAGGTCACTCAAACAAAGGTATGATCCAGACAACCAGTTTAGATGGTATCAACCAATTATTGATGCATGATGAGTATCCGGGTTTCGTACTGTTGCTATCACAGAGTATGAAGTTTACAACATGGGTAATCCAGAATACTCAGAGAAGACAATGGCAGTTTGTTGACAGTAGAAATATCATATTTGATCTTACGCCGCGCCATTTCTGTCGGAAATCACCGTCTCGAAATCTGATACGATAGAGATATGATCGCATCTGGAAGGAAAAGTAAAGCTCCCAACATACGTATAGTGACTTATAAGATACTACCAGCAGCTCGGTTCAATTCAAATATCTACGAGCTGATTGCGGCTATAGTGTCAATTGAAATTGGTGTAACGCAGCGATTCATGTCAAGTTTGATTTGCTTAGAAGCTACAAATGTGCCCTTACCTGATTATGAACTCGGCCCCGGGAGCAAGGGTCAGATGTGTGCGATTCATGCAGCCGATTTTGAGAATTCTCCGAAATAAGGGCCTTCAGTGGTCTGAGATAACCTTGTTCAGGGTGGGGGTGACGGAGGTAACATTTATGACACTAATGTTCTGATACGGTCTTTATCGCTTCATCGTCGGGAAAGGCCGTCCCGAGACTGTCTTTGACTGGCAGTATAGTACATCCAATGGGAGTCAAATTCAGTAATTCTATGTTTCAATAGGAAAATACAGTTCCAGAATCACTCCTCTTATCATTGGCTTAAGGGATTCGTATTCGTGAGTTGCAAAATTGGTACACACTCCAAAACCACGCAAGTCTGATACCATGACTCGCAGTAGCCGACTATCGATGTGGCAATGTGGAGTAGTTCGAAAAAGGAAACTCATATGAAAGCTCCAGCTCTATAACCGGAGAACCCACTTTGTACGGGTTCTGTGAATGCGGAGAACGTGATCCATACGGACATATAGCCCGACACCCATGCTATCCTGCGTGCTCAAACCATGAGATCGTATTGGATAGTTTCAGTGTATTCAGTTCACCGACACCATCTGCTCTTGAAATATTCATGAAATAACGGTTTAGTTGGCACGGCAGCCGATTGACACTAGGCAACACGTGAACTCAGTTGGATGAACATGGATTGAAGACCTGATAATTATATTTAAAGCAACTCCACTATATTCAATTGCAAACATCAGATTCTTCTCAAACATTACTTCTCCAAGTGGCCTCGTACAACACGAATTGCTTTTTGTTAAGCAAGCCGCAACTTCTTCATTTATTATAATCATCGAAATGAACAGGCCAATTGCCATTATCGGAATTGCCTTTAGGGGTCCTGGTGATGCTCGGGACCCCGAGGCTTTCTATCGTATGCTCGTTGAGGGCTGCAGTGCACGAACTGAGATCCCAAAAGATCGTTACAACGTCGATGCATTCTATCACCCTGACTCAGAGCGGTTAGGCAGCATCCAACAAAGGTTTCTCAGCTGTATTCCTCAACGATATACAGTATTAACTGACTCTATTTTACAACAGACATGCTCACTTTATACAACAAGACTTCAAATCATTTGATGCACCCTTCTTCAGTATCACACCAAAAGAGGCCAAAGCCATGGATCCGACACATCGCATCCTCCTGGAAGCCACCTATGAAGGCTTCGAAAATGCAGGCCTGAGTCTAGACCAGGTGTCTGGAACTCAGACTTCGTGCTACATCGGAACTTTCACAGCTGATTTTCCGAATTTGCAAGCTCGCGACAATGAGGGCCCTTCAATCTACCATGCAACTGGCATGTCATCATCTTTGGCTTCTAATAGGTTGTCGTGGTTCTACAATTTGAGAGGGCCTTCCCTCACAGTTGATACGGCTTGCTCATCCAGTCTCACTGCATTTCACTTAGCATGTCAAAGTCTTCGTACAGGAGAGGCCGAGATGAGTGTTGTCGGCGGAGCCAATCTTATGTTTGGGCCTGATATGTCTATTCTTTTAGGAGCAGCCAAGATTCTGTCGCCTGAAGGAAAGAGTAAGATGTGGGATGCAAATGCAGACGGCTTTGCCCGTGGAGAAGGCTTTGGTGTGACAATATTGAAGGTCTGAAATCCCCAGGGCGAGACCTGTTGTAGTATGAAGACCAAGACTAATGTCACGTGATATACAGCCTCTAGATACAGCTCTACGCGATGGCGATACTATCCGAGCGGTCGTCCTGGCTACAGCCACTAACGAAGATGGCCATACGCCTGGAATCTCACTACCTAACAGTGAAGCGCAACAAGACTTGATCCGCAGGGCGTATCAAATGGCTGGGGTAGATCCAGCAGAGACAGGCTATGTCGAAGCTCATGGAACCGGAACGATGGCAGGTGACCCATTGGAAGCCAAGGCTATCTTAAAGACCGTCGGATCAGTCAAAGGCCGCAAATCAAGTCTTTATGTTGGATCCGTAAAGACAAACATCGGCCATCTTGAGGGTGCAGCTGGTGTAGCTGGTGTCATAAAAGCTGCACTAGCCGTAGAGCGAGGTCTCATACCTCAAAATCTTTGGTGAGTAGGCTG